TGGAGAAAATTTCRTCCTCTTACACAATATTATGTATGGGAAGATGTTTTCAATATACAGGATAATGTGATGTGGATAGATATGGGTAGAATTCTTGTGTGCAAGGGATCAGGAGTAAAGAATGTTCCTGAAGATGTTTTATGAATCCTTTTTTTTCTAATGGATCATTCTTGAGGTCAATCTAAATTCAATACAAACCCTATAATTTATCATAGGGCCACAAATCAGGTTGACCCGAATTAGCATTTTATATTATTTTGGATCAGATCCTTTATAAATTTGGACAAAAACCTAACCCGAACCCGTCCAAGTTGCACCCTTACTAACCCTCCACAACTATCCATTGGTTGACAACTGGACACTCAATTAATCAACAAAAGCTTCCCATCCCCAAAAGCCAGGCATTTGACGGAATGTGTTTAGTCATGGTTGTATTATTTAACTCGTTGTACACGGTTGGATGATACAGAATTATATGATTTATGGACCTACATGTGAATACAGAACAGTTTTCTTCTTATTTTCTTTCGAGCTATGTTACTTTTGTCAAGTCTCAACAGCTCCACTAGTTTTAAATCTTATGGAGTTGTGATTTAATTAGTTTTAGTAAATTTGAGTCTGAAGGAGTGATTTTGGACCAACTATCGAAAATAACACTTTCTTTTAAACGGAGCTCACATTTTCTGGTTTGCTGCCCCGAAAGGCAGGTTATTTCCATGTCCATTATAACTATAGAAATTAATTAAAAGACACTTTAACTTTATTAAAGTGGCCCATGCCCATTATATATATATATATATATATATATATATATGTATATATTTCTACCCTAGCATTCTTATCTAAGGGTTAAATCTATCAACCACTTGAACTATTTGACCTAGATGATCAAACCTCTGACCTAAAACCTTGGTGGTTTCTGTAGAAAAAACAATACAAAGTTTATGAAGAACAAGAAAAATAAAGAAATTTTGAAGTTGCAGATTCACCTTTAAACAATTAATAAGAAGGAAAACTTTGATAAATAAATCAATTTCAAAAAAGATATTGAAAGAATTTTGGAGTAGCAATTCATATGAAGAGAAAATTTGTAAAATAAACATTTTGGCCAAAAGTAATTAAATAGGTACCTTGACATTTTCATGCCTCTTTTTGGAAGATTCTAAACTTTAGTAGACGTGATTGCAATTACCAAACTTTAGGAGGAGACTGACGTTTAATCCTCTATCACTTCATTTCTTTGGATGTGWTTGCCTGTTTGATACTTTTGGCGTTTGAATTGAAGATTGAAATGCTTTAGGTTGAAACATCAATCGTACATGCTAAATTGAACCTTGATCTTGTTGTGATTGTCATCCCTTTGGGACGATAGTGCTAAATTGGCCTATGTGAGATGCGCTTAGTGAAGAGCAGATCTGGACTCTTTGGGATAGAGGGTATTTAAAATCCTATTGGACGATAGTGCAAATATCGCTTTGGGACTTCACTCAGTTGAGGGAAAATTCAAACAGGTTGCAATTTGTTTGGCCGATTAGACGACTTGACTTGGAATAGTATGTTTTTTTTTCTTTATTGAATTTTTGTCCTCATACCCATAACCCACCCACGTAGAAAATTTAGCTTCCTTGACTTCGGTTCAGTGGCCCCGTGCACCAAGTTTTCAAGAAAAAAAAATCATTTTGAATATAATGGGATTTGGGTCCCATGTTGGACATTGAGGTAGATTCATTTCTTAGCACAATGAAGCATCTAATACAAAGGATATTGGAGAAAAGAAGACACTAAAGGAAATCCATTATTGCTCCGTGTAGGGGTTTGCTTCAACGTTCAATTGTCATATTAGGTACCDAATTGGAATCCTTTTAGGGGGCTGCATTCCTTTAAATGTAAAAGAGGTGAAAAACAAAATTTTGGCTCTAAATTAAAGGGGCCAAGATTTTAATTGCCTTTTTGGGCTTTTATTATATTATCAAATTGGTCGGGCCTTGTCTGGAATTTCACCTTGAAAAAATACAATAATCCTTTTTCTCTTTCAATGTATGTTGGCTTTTATAATGAGTTTCCAGAGGGCTATTGCTGAGCATCTCCCTAATAATCTTTGTGAAAATGGAAGCTATATCCATAAATAAAAGTGCAAAAACAATAATTAGAGAGAAATCCATTATGCTCAGCTTCTCCAATTGGCACAATTGGATGGGAATTTTACCTTCAAACCGGTTTTCTTTCAAGAGAAGGCCGCTCAAAGATGAAAGCCTAGCGATCCATTCTGGAATAGTACCACTTAAATGGTTATCCCTAATATCGAGAGTAACCAAGGTTGGGCTATTAGAGGAAGCACTTGTCATTGGTCCTTCAAACCCATTGTTCTGAANATTCTGGGCAGTGGGAAGCAGTCTTTTGGGTAGTCTCGGTTTAGGTTGGTGTAGTCGACGCACATGCGCCACTTGCCGTTAGCCTTCTTTACCAAAATGGGGTTGGCTACCCAGCTCGGGTAATGGACTTCTCTTATGAAGTCGGCTGCGAGGAGCTTTGCGACCTCCTCATCGACTGCTTTCCATTGCTCCGGGGCTAGGTTGCATTTCTTCTATCTAACGGGCCTAAATACAGGATCAGTATTGAGTTTGTGAGTCATAAGGTTAGGGTCTATACCGGGCATCTCGGCCGTGGACCATGCAAAAACATCTAAATTTTGAAGTAAGAAACTTACTATTTCGAATCGTAAAGGTTCCTGGATGGAAGCACCGATCTGTAGAGTTTGAGCTGGGCTTGCTGCTGACTTCTTCTCCGTTGGTTGCCCTGCGCTACCCCCACACCGAAGTCTGTAGGGAACTTCATTGCCAAATAATAAGTGGAGACCACCGCCTGTAGAACATGGGTGATTGGCGTCCTATTATGGCATTGTATGGGGAGGGGGTCGCGACCACCAGAAAGTCGTGGTTGAGTCTAACTGCACAGGGCCATGTGCCGACTTCCACAGGTACAGTCACTTTCCCAAGGGGCCTGACTTCTTCTCCGTTGAAGCCCCCTAGAGGAGTGTTCGCGGGCTTCAAGTCACTTCCCCGCAACTGAAGCTGGTCGAACGCGGATTTGAAGAGAATATCCGCCGAGCTGCCTGAGTCAACAAGTACGCGCCTGACCTTGAAGAAGTTGATCCTCAGCTTAATCACAAGAGCGTCATCATGGGGGTAATGGACCCCTCACGCATTGTCCTCCATGAAGAAAATTTGTTCTTCCATCTTCGGCCTCTTCGGAGGATTCTGTTTTTCTTGGGCAGCTTCGCAAACTGATGCGCGGGCTGCTGCTGAAGTACAACCTACAACAACCGAACCTCCCACTATCACRTGGATGGTGCCCCGAACTGGCCTCTCTTCTAGAGGCTGCCTTTGTGACTGTTCGGCCAGCCCGCTGCTGGACTCGGGAACATCCTTATCGTGCTCCCCTTTTCGACTTGCCTTACTATTATTATTATTCTTATTTTGTACAAAGTTCTTTAAATATCCACGATGGATGAGCTCCTCTATCTCGTCGCGGAGGTTTTTACAATTGTTGGTACTATGACCGTGATCTCTGTGAAAACTACAATACAAATTCTTGTTTCTCTTACTGGGATTCCCTCTTAGCTGAGGTGGCCACTTCACGTACGGGGTGTCCTTGATCACCATTAGGATCTCGGCTTGCTTTGTATTTAGCGGGGTGTAATCAGTTCGGTCTGCCGTAGGAGCTCGGAACGGCTGGGTTGGCCTTGCCCCCCGAGCTATGTTCTTCTTGTTTTGACTATCCCCTTGGTTGGGGGGTTCCCCTTCTCTCTTTCTTTTTTCGGGCGCGCCCTCGCCCTTCTGGTTGACTTCCTCCTCTATGGCTATGAACTTGTCCGCGAGTTTGAGGAAGGCTGTAATGGTCTTCGGCTGGTCAAAACCCATATGCCACTTGAACTCCTTATGGGTCTCACCCTTCTTGGCCGCGGCGAGCCGTACCGCGGGGTCTAGGTGCGGTATTTGCATGCACGCGTCATTGAATCACTTGATGTAGCTTCGGATTGATCCTCCCTCTCTCTGAACTATCCCGAGGAGGCTTTCCTCAGTTCGCGGGCACCGCTTGCTCATGATGAAATGGGATGTGGAGGCTTGTGCGAACTGTGCCCAGCTTCTTATCGAGCCGGGTGCAAGGTTCTGGTACCACGTGCGGGCAACTCCTCTGAAGGTGGTGGAGAAGGCCACGCACATGCAGGACTCACTGGCCCTTGCTAGGTGCATCTGGGATTGGAAGGCATCCACATGATCATTTGGGTCGAACGACCCATCATATTTGTCGAGAGTGGGGAGTTTGAAGTCTTTAGGCATTGGAACAACCAGGAGCTCGGGAGATAGGGGGGAGCGAACAAAAAGGAGGGGAACTTTAACTTCACCCGAGTTTACCTCTTCCCTGCCTTTGAGCTCGGGCAAGCTATAGGTGGTAGTTCGGCAAGCTCGGCGANTATTGAGCCATGGAGATTATTCTTAGAAAGATCCATGAATCTAAGGGCATATAATCGACAAAATTCATCGGTGATTGTTCCCTCAAGATGATTATTTGCCATGGCAAGATATTCAAGACTTGATAAATTTCCCAACCATGCAGGTAAAAGGACCAGATATGTTGTTATGACTAACATCAAATTGATATAAATTGGAAATTTTCAACAAACTGTTTGAAAGATTTCCCATAATAGTAGGGAGTATTTTTCCATGCAAACTATTGTTGGATAAGACCAAGTATTCTGGGATTTGACCTGATAAATTATTGTTGGACAGATCTAGAATCCATAGCCATTTCATATAACCAATTGACACAGGAATTTTTCCTTTAAACCCATTTGTTGATAGGTTTAATACTTTTCAAATTTGGAAAGATAACACCGATATTTGTTGGGATCAAACCAAAGAATTTATTTTGTGAAACTAGTAGAGAAGACAAATTTAGACATGGATGAGATGGAAGCACAAGAGTGCCTATAAAGTAGTTATTCATTAGATCTAGTTTCATTAATCTGGTATTGTTCTCCAATAACCATGTGGGAAACTGTCCCTTTAAGTTGTTATTGGAGAGTTCAACTATTTTCAATTCATGTTGTGGTGGTACATGAAGCTTGGAATAGCACCATTTTTGAATGTGAAGCTTGATAAAACAAGAGATTTCAATTGGAAGGCTGGAACCCAGGTTGAATACTCAGTTTCCACCACTAGCTTATTATTTATACTTTGAAACACCTCAAGTTTGGAATGGTTAGCTAAGCTAAATGAAAAAGAACCTTTAAGGTAGTTATTTGAAAGAAAAAGGTACTCAAGTGAAGTAGGAGTAGTAAGGATTGATGTGTCAATGCTTCCTTCCAATTGATTATTCGAAAGATCCAATAGCCAAAGGGATCTCAAACTTTTCAAACATGAGTGGTGGAAATTACCCACGCTACTAAGATCTAACTCCTGGAGAAGTCCTAGTTTGCACAAACCTGCATAATGGTTAGGACCATGTAAGTAACTTCATATAACTAGTTAATCAGGCAAGCTTAACTAATCAGGCTCACCTTGTAATTGAATGGGTATCAACTGGATTGAAATTCAATTTTAAAACCCTCATTAAAGAAACACATCTACATGGACTTTTAAAGGAGAGAGAACATAGGAATTAAAGAAAAACAAAAGAAATTGGCCATGGTTGCATCCTCCATAGGTGGACAGCAGTCTATCCTTATTCCTAAAGTGTTTGGTGGAATTTTTTGATCTCTAAGATTAATGTCATATACCCAAGCTACAACTGCATGTTTCTACTTGTCTAACAAAGCATTAGTGGAACAAGTTTCAAATTCATTGCCCCATCCTCACCCTAAACCCTGAACCCTGATGGCTAAAAATCCTAACCCCATCCCTGCCTAGTAGTTTGATTAAAGAATAACCTCGATGAGAGAGTACGGAGGATCCCGTAAAATCATAACGCTTTATTTTATTATTATTATTTTTTTTCTTTTTTTATTTTTGATAAATATAGCGTTTTATTTCTAACTTTTTGCACATCCCCGATTTGTTCATGGCAACATGCCAATACCCCAGTCCAACAACGTCTTCTCTGGGGCTTTTATGTCTGTCCCACTCCTACGTCCTTCCACTATCACTCTACCAGCCCATGTCATTGTCACATGCCCTTCCTTTTATTTCTCAGGAAACGAAGCTGGGAAGATACTATTAATGAAATAGTGCGGACCAAAAAGGGGGTAAAAGATATTTGGAAGAAATCATCTCTTCTTCTTCTTCTTCTTTTGGCAAGAACTATAACTGACGAATACTGTGGTTGGTTTGGGAGGAGACGGGGAACGAAGATCAGTAGAAAAACACCAAAAGCAAGTGACAATGTTAGTGGTGAGCAAAGAAAACCGAAAAACTGATCGAAATCGAATCGACCGGTTCGGTTTCGATTCGGTGTTTTTAAAAAATCAAAGGTACCGGTCCTGTTTCAGTTAACCAATTCAAAAAATCTGCGGTTAACCGAATCAACCGATATACATGTTTTTCTATATAATTTCCATATATTTATGTATGTTATATATATTTTATATTATAAATTAATAAATATGTATTATATATAAATATATATAGTTATAATATATTATTTAAAATATAATATTTTATTATATATTTTTATAATAAATATTATAAAGTCAAAAAACCAAAAAACCAACGAAGCGAATCGTCAGTTAACCAAACCAATCACCCGGTTAACCGACTAACTTCAGTTCAATTCCAATTATCGATTTTCCAAAAACCAATACTACCAGTTCGATTCACAAAAAAAGGCCCACGGTTCGGTTGAACACCCCTAGAGGCCTAGGCAATGCCACTGCGAAAGTGCCAATACGACCACCTATTAACTGACAGTGTCACGCTGCTGACCCTCTCCACTACCACATCAAAAATCACAACTGGCGATGCTGTTACTATTCACGCCTTTATGTCAGTACTATTGGAATTGAGGGGAGTTCAGATCTCCTGCCCAGTCTAGAGGGGTTAGTGTGTTGTGTGTAGAATTTGTGTGGGCAGGAGAGATGGGTCTTAGGCTTCCCACTTTTGCCTCAGTATCGGTGTTATTTGCATGCCTCAATAATTTAATAATTTATCTTATTATTTTAGTTAATTAATTTTCTACATATGTAATCGTTTTCAAATTTTTTGAAAGTTTGATAATTTATCTTTTATTTATCAATAAAAATTAATCAACAAATTAATTATCTTTTATTTTCCAATTTAAMTAATTYAATAATRTTCTGAATATRTAATAATTAATTTTTTGAAAGTATAATAACTTTCAACAATTTAATGAAAATTTAATAAATTACTTTTATTTCCTTAAAAATGAATCATAAATTAATCGAAATTAATTACCTTCTTTCTTATAATATAAATTAATCAATAATTTTTTGAAAATTCAACAATTTTATATAATTACTTTTTTAAAATACAATAATTTATCTTCTTTTTTCCAATATAAATTCATTAATAATTTTTTGAAGATGTATTAATTTATCTATATTTTTTTGTCAATGAAATAATTTATCTTTTGTTTTCAATAGTTATTGCAATAATGTTTTTTGAAAAATGTATTAATTTTAAATAATATTTCTTAAAATTTAATAATTTATATTTTATTTTCCAATAAAAATTAATCACAATTCATTTTGTTTTATTTTCAAATATAAATTAATCAATAATTTTCTAAAAATGTAATACTTTATCAAGAATTTTATGAAAGTGAAATAGTTTATCTTTTTTTTTCAACAACTTTCCAAAAATGTAATAATTTTTTGACAACTGAATTATTGTTATTTTATTTTCAATATAAATTAATGAATAAATTAGTAAAAAAACTAATTATCTTTTAATTTTTGGTAAATTATTAATTTTTCATAATTAATCAATATTAATCTACAGAAATTAATTTTTATTAAATTGATAAAATTAATAATTTTCAATAAATTGTCATAATTAACCAATATTAATTTACCGAAATTAATCTTTTTGGTAAATTACAATTTTTTTATTAATTAAATTTTTGTTAAATTAATTTTACAGAATTACCAAAACTAATCTACAAACTTTAGTTACCAAATTTACCTATAATAATATTTCTAAATTAGTTACGAAACTGAAAAAATAGCTTACCACAATTAATTACAAATCTATCAAAATTAATCTTTCCAAATTCACCAATATTAATTTTGTAAATTAACAAAATTGTATTATATTAGTTTTCTCTAAGATTACCAAAATTAATAAAATAATGATTTTACAAAACTATCGAATTTATTGATAATAAGATCTTGAACGCCTTCCCCTTCCATTACTTCTAACTTGTTCAAAGAACACCGATCATTAAGGACCAAAGCTTGAACCTTTCAATTCAAGTGTGTTTGGTTTGTTATAGAGTTCCATTTTCTTAGCATCTATCCATTGCAAAGAATCAACAAATTATCTCCTCTCTCTCTCTCCCTCTCTCTCTCTCTCTCTCTCTCTCAATCGATGCGTCAAGCCTTAAGGCCCTTAACACCAAAGGTAGGGAACCCTTGAAATTTCTCACCACGATTCCACTCTCATCTTTCATGTCCATTCATCRTAGGTAAGGCCAAAAGCTCTAGGTCCATCCTATCTTTCTTT